CTTTATATGGAAACTGTTCTTCCAAAATGAAGGCGAAATGGACATTTCCAGATAAAAACTGAAAGGTTTCATTGCGTGTAGACCTGCTCTATAAGAAATACTGAAGGGAATCCTTTAGGTTAAAAGGAAAGTACCCTGGGCCATAAATCATATCAACACAAAGAGGTAGAGCACCTGTAAGGTAACTTGAGACAAATGCTTATAGGTAACTAGAAAAGCTAAATGAAGTTTTTTTTTTTTTTAGCTCCTCTCATTTGATTGATTGATTGATTGATTTTGTTTTTTTTCCCGGTCCCGGGAATTGAACTCACAAATTTGCGCTTGCCAGGTAGGTGCTGTGCCGCTGAGCTAAATCCCCAGCCCCCTCCTCTGGTTTGATTTTTAAAACTACATAATATCTATAAATCTCTGTTGATGAGTATACAGTGTATAAAGATGTAATTTGTATGACAATAACATTACAAAAATGCAGAGAGTACAGACCTATGTTACAGTCAAGTTTTGTACAGCATAAATTAAGTTGGAATTACTGTGAATTGGTTTGTTACAATTGTTATAAATTAAACTGTAAATTGTGATCTCCAGGACAATTACTAAGAAAATGTCAGAAGATTATATTTACAATATTGTAAAAGAATGGCAAGGGTACCTCCATATTAGACTGGAACTATCTGTTTAACACAAAATAATGTGGCAGTGGAAAAATAGAACAAGAACCACAATGAAAAGCAGAAGCCAGTAGCAAAATGGTAGCAGATCCCTATTTTATCAGTAATTACATTGTGCACCAATTCCCTGTGATGAATGCATTTATTATGTATTGAAGATGCTATGAAAATGTATAAATGGATTAAACATTTTGATCACACAGCAGAGATTAACAGTATGAATTAAAAACCAAATATGACCCAACTTTATTTTGCCTGCAGAAGACGCACTTCTTTTATTAGCACATGTGCAAAGCTCCTATGTTTACACTCCTTGTGGGGAGTGGCCCTCGTGCATAATACATCTCAACTCCCTTTCCTCCCCTTCACCCATCTCTTGGTCCCTGTCCTTTTACTTTTGCATATGTTCGCAATACGTGATGTTTACATTTTCTGTGGGAAGTTAGTGCGTGCACATCACATATCCTAATCCATTTTTCATCCCCTTTTATTCCTGTCTCTCCTCCGTCCTCCTTGAATCTCTCGATCCCCCTCCCCTTCAAGGAAGATCTCCTATTCCATATTATCTATTTTTTATTTTACTCTTTATTTAAAGTTGGGTTTCTCATAGAAGAGAAATCACACAGCATTTAAGCTTGTGTACCTGATTTAGCTCACTTAACATTATGGTCTCAAGGTACATTCATTTTCTTACAAATGACTCAAGTTTATCTTTCTTTATGCCAGTGTAGCAGTGCACTGTGTGAAAACCACATTTTATTTATCCATTCATCGCCTGATGGACAGATAGGTCGCTTCCAAGATTTATCTTTTATGAGTTGTGCTGCTACAAATACGAGTGTGCATGGATGCACGTGTTACGATGTCATTAACTCTTTTGGGAAGATACCTAGAAGGCAAATGTCAGGGCTAAATGGAATTTCTAATTTCAGAATTTTGAGAAATCACCACACTGATGTCCATAGTGATTGCATTAGTTTACATTCCCACCAATAGTATTAAAGTGAAACTTTTTAGCTACAGCCTGGCCAGCATTTGTTATTATTTGCTGTCTTGATAAAGATGGCCGTTCTTTCTGGGATGAGATGGAATCTCAGCATTGCTTTCTTTTGTGTTTCTTTAGTGGCCGGCAGTACTGAGCGTTTCTTCACGGATTTTTTGGCCATTTGTAATTCTCCTGTGAAGTGTTTATTCATTTTCCTTGCCCATTTTTCAGTTAGGGCTTTTATTCGTGTGGGTTAATTTTTTGAATTGTTTCTATGTTCAAAATGTAAATCCCATGTCTAGGAACGGCTGGCAAGTTGTTCACACTCTGTAGTTGTTGTTTCACTCTCTTGGTGGCTTCTTTGCCATGCAGAAGCTTTTTAATTTGATACGATCCCATTTGTTGAGTCTCTGAATTATTTCCCGGACAATCATTGTTCTGTTCAAAAAGTTCTTGCCTACACCTATGTCTTCAAGAGGTTTGCCTATTTTGTCTTCCAGCAGGTTTAGCGTTTAGAGAACATTTAGTTCTCTGATCCATTTTGATTTCAGCTTAGTGCATGGTGAGACACATTTCGCTTGCCCGTTTCTTGAGTGAGCTTTTTAGTTTAGATGGTCTGTTTGTTTGAGTTCTTTATATACTCTCAGTATTGGCCTTCTGTCTGAGGTACAGCTGGCAAATCCCTTTTCCTGTTCTGCAGGTTGTCTCTTCACTCTACTAGTTGATTCCTTTCTGTGCAGAAGGCTTTTCATTTGATATAATCCCATTTGTTGATTCTTCTTATTATTTCTTTGCAATTGGGGTACTGTTTAAAAGATAATTTCCTACACCTTTGACTTCAAGTGTTTTACCTATTTTGTGTTCTAGTGGGTTCAATTTTTCTGTTTTAATGTTTAGCTCTTTGATCCATTGTGATTTTTGTGTAGTAGATAGGGAGAGATATGGGCTGAGCTTCAGTTTTCTGTGAACAGATCTCCAGTTTTCCCAGCACCATTTGCTGACTAAGCTATTTTACTCTATCCTACACTTTGCCCCCTCGGTCAAAGGTCACGTAGCTGAATGTGTTTGGGGATGTTTCTCTATCTTCTATCTAGTTCCACTGGTCCACATGTCTGCTTTTGTGCACTGAATGCATGGGTCTAATAGAAATGCATTTTTCCTTTCTTGTATTTGTTGCACTAGAGTGAAAAAATGCTAAATGGGGACCTAGGTCTTCTTCCCTTGCCTGCCAGGCTAGTATCCTGACCTGGAAGTCCTTGGTGTTCTTCTAAAACCAGCATGTTACACCCATAAAGGACGAGTTAAACACTGGTGTCTATCCTTCCAAATATTTAGGATCTTTCATAGTTCAGAATGGAGTCACTGAAATACAATTTTCAAATCACTTTGCTTTATGATAAATGGTAGCCGAGAAGAATGAGACTTCTCAGCTGGTTATCAACTCCTTAGGTCTTGAGCTCCTCATCGCTGGGTTCTAGGAAGGTATCAGCACCGTGAGTACTCGGGTCAGAGTCGAAAGTGCTCAGTGCTGTGGCGGCTCTGATCGTGGCCACGGTGTGGGTTGGGGATTAGGAAGGGCTCTTCTGCTTCTCCTTGGGCTGGTCTTGGGGCCCTCTAGGAGGTTTCTCAGCACAGGGCCGTGTACATGAGGATATTTCTTCTTGGAACCCTCCCCCAGCTCCTGTGAACACTTCAGCAGGTAGGAAGAAAGAGTGACGGCCCCTGGAGCCTGGCTTTTCTGCCTGTGGTGTGGCCACAACTTGCAGTGAGATAAGAGACAGAAAGAGGAGGAGATAAGGCAGGAAATGGGTCAAGGCAGAATATATGATTTTTCTAGGCACAAGTGAATTGCCAATAATCATTTTTTTTGCTCACTTCTTGAAAACGTAAGGGATTATGAGAAACAAAAAAATTTATGATGTGACATGCTGATATGTACATTACAACTGTTCCTTTATCCCCTGGTAATTTTGATGCATAATATTTATTATTTGTAGCAAAACAGTTGAGAACACTTTACGTGTGGTCTTCTTAGAAATAACAAAGAAAGGAACCAAAAGAAACGAAGACAATAGCAGAAATTGTATGAATCAAATTGTAAGCCCTAGAGAGGAGACATTACTGAGTTCTTCCGGTGGCCACGACGGGCCCTTAAATTGCTGCCTGATGTCTGTTCTGAGGGGAATGTCTTTTATCGTGATGTGAATGTTTGCAAACCAGAGGGCAGATTATGGCAGGCTGAATAAATGTGCCTTCGAAAGTAACCACGTCCATCCAAAGTCCCAGAACCTGTGCATGTTGCCTTACGCAGCCAAATAGGGTGTGAAGGTGTGATTCATTCAGGAATCTTGAGGTGGAGCAATTACCTGGAGTTCCCCGGGAGGACTCCAAATGTAATCACAGAAATCCTGACAGGAGAGAAGAAGGCCATGTGATGACAGTGGCCGTGCAACACTGGCGGCCTCCAGAAGTGGGAGCAGTGGGGGCTGATTCTCCTTTGGAGCCCCCAGAGCGAACGGCTTTGCCACCATCTTGATTTTATTCGCTTTGGACACATTTCGGACTTCCGACTTCTAGGGTTGTAGGAGAATAAATTTGTGTTGTTTCACCCTCTACTTTTTTTGTAATTTGTTATAGAAAGCAACAGGAACCAGACAGATTAAGTCCATTTGTGTAAGAGCCGGGACAGTGTGGGGAAATATTCTTTTCACTTCTTTTATTATTTCTGTGATGTTTTAGTAAGTCAAACTCTACATTTGCCTTGCATCCAGCCCCAGAGATAGCTCTGAGCTTTTGGGTGCCTCTTCGCTGGGGTAGCTGTGCATATTTTCAAACTTGGAGGAACAATGAGGAGACAACAGAGAAGCTGGGCGGTGAGCAGAATTCTCACTTTTCTTTTGTTCCATTCTTGTTACCCAAAGTTTCAGTCCCTTTTGGCCTAGAGCTTCAGTGCTATTAATTTCTGAGTGAGTAACTCGAGACCTTCCTGGAAGACTAATGGAAAATCCCTGTTGTACAGTCACCAAGGAGCCCCACAGGCTCGATAGCTGGAAATATCAAGGGAAAGACCTGTTTTTCTTTGATTCCAGGTTACCCACAGGCTCCCAGTGTGCTTGGGTCATTTTAAAGGCTTTCAGAAATCCAGCCTTGTAACCCGCCTCCCCAACCCCCCCGGAAAAAATACAGCTTTGAATGATTTAGTGTTACAGCAGTCACATAAACAAAAAATTTTAACTTGGCAAAGCTGAAGCACTCACTAACCTGTAGAGCAGTATTTTAGTTTCTTAAGAGACAGTTTCTTGGCTGACTCCACCTAGTAGGGCTTCCTGACTGGGGTTTTCAGCGGTGCAAACACTTTGCTCTCACAGTTAAAGTAGAGGCACCAGCTGAAACAGCCTCCTTGGAGAAATCCTGAGAATGCATCAGCTCCTTCCAAAGAAGGTGAGCTTTGCAGAGAAGAGGATCTCAAGCCAAGGAACTGCAAGAGGCAGAGTGTCGCAGGGCATTTCTTTTCTTTTTTTTTTTTTTGTGTCGCAGGGCATTTCTGTGGGGGGTGGATTCTAGTCTGCAGGGGCTGAGGTGCTGTGCCAGCAGCACCATGTGCAGGGCGCAGCAGGGTGATAGTGGTGGGGTTGGGGTTGAGGGAGATTTCTTAGCATGGTGTCCATGCAGTGCATATTAATAGGAGGAAGTTTAAGCAAATGACCTTCCATCAGTGAACTTTGCGGTAGATGCAGCGCATTGCCTGCTAACTCTAATAAGCAATTGGTGCCTTCCAGGCAGGTTCCCTGCCCTCCCTCCCTGGGGATGGAACCTAGGCCTGGAGCATGCTGGGAGTGCTCTCTCTCGCTTCTGTTCCCAGCCCTCAGGGCAGACTTTGTTTAGAGCTGGAAGGCAATGTTAATATAATACATATTGTATATATATTATATTGCATATTGAATATAAATGTAGTGTAAGGTTATTAAATTCCTTATAAATGCATATGTGAGCAGCATGAGGGTCTATACCTGAATCTTCTGTTTTTGTTACATGGTTGTATGTTTCTAGTCATTCATCAGCATCTTATTCCTTTTAATTATGGAGTCTGTAATGATTAACTGTAATGATTAACTATGACTACCTTTCTCTCTTTGTTTTTTTCATGGTGTCCAGGGTAATTGTCACTTTTTTTCATCCAAATAAATGTTGTGATCAATTTCTTACTTCTAGAGAAAAAGGATGATGACAAAATGAAATTTATATTTATTTGAAATTCTGTTAAAGTAGTCTCTACTTGTTCTTATTTTGTAAAATGTTTCAAACATGAATTAACATGACACTTGTTTAAATATCTTTTCTGCATCTAGTAATTTTCATCTGAATCTATTAGTGGGATATATTCTAGCAATGAATATTCTCTTATGTGACCGTGCTAGTAGTTTTGCAATAAATCGCTAACACAGTGTGTTATTTGTGAGCATTTAACCATTCACTTAGGA